GTAGTAAAACTTTCGCTAGAGATATTGCGGACTAGAAATAATATTTACAGAACTTATGATCATTTAAATATGAATTTCTGTTTATTTTACAATTTGAATACATTATACACTGAGAATATTATTATAATGGAATGGATTGATTTGCGTGAAAATGTGTGTAAACCATGGTACAATAGAAATGTAAACACTGGAATAATTTAAATTTACATTCAAACCTATATTGTTTCATCTATATGGCAACCAAAAATACTCTGAGGACGTATAAAATAAAAAATATCTAATACTTATGACCTCCATCCACCACGCTTGGTTGAAGTTTAGGAACGTTTACCAAGCTATTCTCCATCTATGCATATTTATTAAAGTTTCTCAATATACAAAACAAATTATTACTTTATAAACTGGATTTAAAAAGGTGTCAGTCAATACTATTGCTATTTTGCTATCCATTTTACACATCTTTGCTCATAAATATATTATATATAGTACTAGCGACTCACCCTCGCTTCGCTAGGGTTCGTCCCTAGGTTGATTTCCCATACAAATTTTCATCCCCATTTTCACTCCTTTAAGGGATGATTTCCGGGATAAAAAGTATTCTATGTCCTTCCCAGAGTCTCAAACTATCTTCTTATCAAATTTCATCTAAATCGGTTCAGTAGATCCAGAGATTTCCCCCTACAACGTCGCAAACTCACAAACTCACAATACACAAACTTTACCTCTTTATAATATTAGTATAGATAACATATTCTCCTTGGAAGCCTAGTTTTCAACAAATCCTTCTTATTTCCCTTCTTAAATCTATTATATAGAACATCCGATTCATACCCGCTTATATAAATATTTATGTATATGTAGAGACGATGACCGTTGCAAGGATAGAAATTGTAATATAATTAATAATATGACCCTATAAATATCGTACATGGCAGCGAACTACCGTTCTCTTAATGGTTGAACTAAAGGTTAGCGAGTATATTATTCATACTTTTTCACATTTAACGCCATCAGATAAAGTAGAGCTATAGATGCAACTGAGATTTGAAATATACCTATATATAATGTAATAAAATAAATAAAAACATGAATAAGTATTTAAGGTTATAAACAATTTTTAAGAAGTATAATTAATGATTGCATAACGATTTACCGATTCGTTTACCTTTCGTGAATTTTTAGACATGCAGTTATTATCTAATAGATAGCGTTGAATTAAATTCTTCAATTTATTTTTTGTCATAATACTATCGCAAAAATGCATTCGGGTCATCGCAAAACATCGTTTATAGTTCATAATACGATTCTGGAAACAATTTTTATATATATTAACCAAATATCGCCAAAAACTCCGCCGCACGCATAAAAACTGCCTCTCGTACCCTGCTACTCCAGTAATCTATCTATTTGCTGGTAAAATCGCGTCTAAATCGGTCCACTCGTTGCGATGCTATTTTTTTCTATTATATGATTATATCATGTAAACAAAATAAGGTATATTATAATTCTATTTTTACATAACTATGGTTGAACCATTTCCTGTTTAAGATTAACTTAGTGCAATAATCAAACACTAGCGTATATAATCAGTATTTATGAAACTTAGATTGCGAACCTGCAGGTGTATTAGCACCTAAATTGAAACAATACTGTTCTGTATCGTTACAAAACCGACCTTTTAATTTCCCAACTGTAGTTTTTGTTAAGGTTCATTAAAAGAGCTGTTAGAACAGCAGTTTTGCGTAATGTGAAGATTCAAGGTGATCCGGTGCGGCGGCATCGCGTCGTGGCACAGCGGACTTTGCAACCAGACGCTACCATAAGCATACGTCGACATTGCACTACACTATATACTACGACAAGCAACACAAAATTATTTGGGAGTGACACAACTATGCGTTAGGTCACGTCTTCACATTACGTTATATCATATATTTATTTAAAGTTTTCTATGAACGATATGGGCTTTAGAAAGTCAAGTTATCTAAGGTGCGGAAGACACTGTATGACAGAACGGTTATATTAATTGGACCGGTTTCGACCCTCGAAAAATATATATTAACGGAATTTTACTTCTCAGTATCTAAACTATTAAATGGTTAGGCTTGTATATCAGAAAACATAAATAATTAATCCTTTATATGATTATTCATTACTAGCGACTCACCCTCGCTTCGATTGGGTTCGTCCCTAGGTTGGTTCCCCATACAAACTTTCATCCCCCTTTTCAACCCCTTCAGGGATGATTTCCGGAATAAAAAGTATCCTATGTCCTTAACAGGGTTTCAAACTATCTTCTTAGTAAATTTCATCTAAATCGGTTCAGTAGATCCAGAGATTACCCCTACAACGTCACAAACTCACAACTTCAGCTCTTTATAATATTAGTATAGATGAAAACATTTTTAGTTAACTTCTCCTTTATTTATAAACGACTTGTTGCAAGAGATCATAGATGTAATACCCTTACTTTTTGAATAATAATATTTTGGGTTAGGCCTATGTCCAGAGGTGGACATCTTTTAACTGAGCCGTAGAATATGGAAATGAATATTACTCTGTTAAAGAAATATCTGAACCATCTATGATAGAACCATCGTCCAAAATTCAACGAAATCTACAGGTAACAGTGATATGAATGTGTTTAAATGGATATATTTATTATGTTAAAGATGTACATATAACATATTACAATGGTTGTTCCCAACACTGGGTTAGTAGGATCTCAACTTAAATACTGTGGACATGATAACAATGAAAAAACATATTCCCACGTATAGAGTATGTTTTGAATCATAAAGAATTGCTTAAGCTAAAGGTCAATAAACCTAGAATAATAAACATGCTTAGAACACACGTAACGTTGTTTAACGACAATTTTTTGAAATGTACATATGTATATAACCCTTGGCACATCTTTATTATCGTTTACTCTTTTGGATTTATGTAAGTAAGCGTACATTAAAAGTATAAAATACTAAAAACTTCAACTTTATCTAAAATCTCAAAACAATTGTTTCGTATTCTTCACGAGAAGTAAATACAATAAATCTGTGGAAGACTAATGAAAGGGCGTTATTGACCGGGACCGAACCCGTCATCCACCAATAAATTGCAACTGAATTTAAAGTAAAGCACTCCAGCTACGAGTATGCCGGTCACGAACGACACTCGTGAGCAAAATAAGTCGTCCCCGTCACCAGAATGAAAATACGACGTCTAATGTGAAATTCTTCTGACAGAAAGTTTTCCAGTATCAAGAGAAACATCACCTCTTCAGTTTGAAAGTGAAATTTAAAGTACCATCATATAATAATGTTGTAAGTTACATTAAAATTATCTTAGAAGATATCTAGGCGCTTAATCTATTCATAATGTTGTAGTTTATAAAACATATGAATATGCATATCGCGGATATTACAGATACGTGGCTTAGTTTATCTTTCATAATCTCTTTATTATAATTCTTTGCAATATTTGCTTGGATATTTAACTGACATTTATTTCTAGAATTCGGCCAATAAACCTATTGTAAAATATTAGATACTCGTATATTAAAATAGCGTTCAATATTTTTACGAATAACTTAGGTAGATATTTTGCTTTCATATACGACCTATTTAGAGTATTGTACAAGTATAATTATACTACTTAATTAAGTACTTATAGAATTACCTACTTATATGTTATAGGTCAAGCAAATGGCTAATACTCGTAGGTAGCTAGTTTATTAAGCTCTAATTAAGTCGAAACAATTCCACGAATCATTCTTAATATTTAACATTTTGTGGAGATTCTATTTATATATGTAGGTTTTGGTTTACTCTCCGCTAAACTATTAAACTAGCCCGTCAGAGTTAGTACTAAATACTCAACCTCGCTTCGCTCGGGTTCGTCTCTAGGTGATTCTTTAAATTGACATAACTTTTTTATTTATGAATCGATTGAAATAAAACAAATACTAAATGTTAAGCTTACCACAATACATTAGTGATAATCGCACCCAATTCGGTTAAGACACTTTTGAGATTAGCACGCACGAAGAGGCAAACATTCTAAAAAGAATTGTTTTGGATTCTATTGCGTAAATAACGACCACCAAAAATAGTTTATCAGACAGCGATCAGTCATACTTTTATTATATGTAAAGATTTTATTTATTTATGAATATATTATAAAACGGACTATACAAAAACATTAAACGTGTCGAAGAAGTCGTCGCGAACTTTACAATATTTTAAAATCACTTAACAAAAAAAGACTTTTTGTTTAGTGACAAATTCAAATACTCATGTATTTTGAGCGGTTAGAACACATCGGCTTAAACGTAAAAAGAACATTATCGAGACAACAAGGCGGCGCGGCGGCTTACACAACTGTTTATAATGATCAAATAGAACGGCCTTAATAATTTCTTTATATATATTATTATTATAATTTCGTTATAATAATAATATATATAAAGAAGTATATGGTTTAAATATATATATATAAAAAAGAAATTTACAAAAAAGTCTAACGTAAATTTGTAAGCACTCTAATAAAGCAAAAGTACTCGTAGCTAAGGTATACCAAAGTTTAATCTACGGAAAACTCTCAAGCTACCTAACTTTGACTTCATTGCTTACAGACACAAACTTAAGTCTTCATTCGCTTGTTAGGTACGAGTTAGAAATCAACATTCATCTATCATCAAAGTGTATAATTACTTTATAATTTTAGTTTTATTTAAATATGCAATTTAAGTTTAAAAAATGCGTCCTATCATAGTACGAATTAAATGACCCGTTCCGAAAATAAAACGTTATATGACCATATACATTAACCATGTTTCCATTTTGAAACGTTAACTTTTATCTATTTGGTTTTATTAACTTTTATCTATTTGGTTCTTGCCATTAACACAATAGAACCATGACTCTTTGATCTCATTATTCACGCCAATAGTGTGTCACTTCACTATTGTTTATTTTAACAGATAGTAATAAATAAAGACTTACGGGCATTAATCCATCGTTGCCATAAGGCCTTCCCTCCAAAGCCAATTCCTTGTCCAGCATGGCATCGAGCTGCTCGAGCTGATGGCAAGAGGCACGTGCTGACACCCAGCTGGATGCCAGGATGAAGGAGCCCAAGATGAAAGAAGCTGCTACCACCGTCAGGGCGGCGATACGCGCGATTTGCACTGAAGATGACATTCTCTGACGATATGCCTGTCACAAATATAAAATTTACAATAATATGTCGGCCTAACTGTAAGTTTATAAAAAAAGATCAAAATTAACGCATAACAAATAAAATATTTTTAAAAGAAATCTGAACATATAAATGATGGATTCAAAAGTGCTTTTGAAAGTCACATTGAATAAAGTAGGTAGTAGGTACGTTTTTATTTAATTTAATAAACATAAGTCAACTGTAACTAAGGAATTATTAAATGCACTTAGTTGTCTGTAAAACCTGTTATAATTATTATAGATTAACATAATATGTGACTAAAACTTGTTTATAAGAATAACCATAAATTGTTATTTTATGTGAAGTGAAGAACATATATTATATTTTTACTAGCATTGCCCGCGGCTCCGCCCGCGTTCAGATGACCGAAAAGCAAATTCTTAGGTTTTACATATTAGTGTACTCTTACAATGCAGTTTTTGTATTTTTTCTCAGAAATGAGATATTTTTCCGCGGTAACAAGTATCCTATATGTTGACCCGGATAAGCAACTATCACCATACTAAATTTCATCAAAATCCCTCCAGTGGTTTTTCTGTGATGCGGTAACAGACAGACAGACAGACAAATATTCTAAAAACTATAGATTCGGTCTCTGTACCGATAATAATGTCTATTTCAATAAGATTTTCCGAAAAATATTTAATGTACAGATTCGGCTTAATTACAATTTTATTATATGTATAAATATTTTCCGGATTAAAAATGAACATAAAAATTTTTTTCACTATCTTACAAAACTACTGAATTTCGAAAACTACCAAGTATGATTAAGACCCCACAGCCACAAGACGAACGCCATATTGGCAAAGATGAAATATTAAGTATTAATAGTCTAACATGTAGGTACTTAAGAAGATAATCGTACTTTTTACCGTAAAAGCGGGACCGATTTAGAGATTTCTTATAACTTATGTACATATAAACCTTACCACCGACGTTACGGTAAAAAAACATTCTAAAACGTCTGGTAGAAATTACTAATCACGGAAAGCGTCTGGCTATAAAGAATATTGATGATTGATATGATTGATTTTTGACTATAATCTGTGCAACATATGTATATAACAAACAGCCGTTCTTCATATGGGATCTCCTACGATTTGTTACCGCTGATAATTAGAAGTCATATTATTTAATAGCGGATCACCGTCGCTTCGCTCGGGTTCGTCGCTAGGTACGTTTTAAATAGATATAAATAGTTATTAGCCAGCGTTAGCCATATATATATATATTTTTTGTTAATAATATTGACAAATATTGACCTTAATATTTATACGATACCAACGTCACTCAATTGTTTTTCCTTCCCGGAACCTCTCCACTAACACCTAAACTTTATGGTATGGTATTAAAGTTCAAATTGACTTTTAAGTATTATTATGAATCTTTTGTATGGGAGTATAGAAAAGTGCTGTTTTTAGACTTTTTTAGGCAATTTTTTAAATTTTTCTCTCCGTAAGGACCATCCTCGTACTTCAAGGAATATTCTAAAAAAAGAATTATCGTAATCGGTTCAGCTGCTCTCGAGATTTGCGCTTAGCAACACATTCAGCGATTCATTTTTATATTATAGAAGATTAATCCTCATAATTTTACAACAACAACGAAGGTTTGACGGGCTTAGAATCTTGCACCGTAAGGTTAAGCCGAGGTCGTGAGTTATATCGAAAGAATCTCAATTGGAAAATGTACGTAACATAGTAAGTAATTAATTTTTTGATTTATCACGAAATAGTTTTGTATTTACTCTCAACGTGTCAATAAAGTATTATGACAACAAAAATTAATTATAATAATTTTATTTTTTTATGTTTTTTTTTACAAATTGTCAATTTGAAAAATATTCATATATCAAGTACCGCATATACATTATTTTTTTAACTGAATAACTTCCAAACGCACTTATATATTATTGTCACTTAAACAATAGAACTATTGAAACAACAAATACGTCCAACTAAATAAATATTTACTCGTACTTTAGAACATCACGCGCAAAAATGCTTTATTTTAATTCACATCAGTACCTTAATTTTAAATATAAAAATATATTTACAACTTGTTATTACTTTAACCATATACATAGTAATGGAATATGTATTTTTATTTATCCTACCTGCTTAATATTTATGTTAATAAAATACCATAAATGCTTATTGTTAAATTTAACAGGTACATATATTGTTTTAAAATGGAGTCGATTTTTTACACAATGTTTAAAATTTCTGTTTTTAAAATTAAAATAACCTCAAGGACTTCAAAATTGCCTTTTAAAATAATTATTTGGGACCTTTGAGGTATATCCTTTATTATTTATCAATTACTATTACGGTTTAAAGCAAAGTTAAGTACCCTAGAGAAAGCGCTTGCGGAGCATTCGAAGACGATCTGTCGAGAGCAGAACGATCTAAATTACTAATCTTATAAATTGCTTTACAATTGACACTGTAACCGTATCGAACGTAATTTTTTACAATAGATTTCTTTGTCAGTATAACTTATTATATGGTAAATTTAATTAAATATTATTATATAACCATTAGAAGAACTCCCTACAGTTTATTGATAATCTAAGCTTATACGCCTGTGGAAAGAAGTCTTGGAGTCAAGTTCCGCATCGATACTAAAGAGTGGTTAATAATAACTATTATTTATTTATATATTAATGTAACTTTTTACGTTTTCTATTAAAAAATATTACTAGGAGGTTCCTCAAGGCATCTTATATGTTATAAATAACGCCTGATCTATACCTGGTCTACAAAATCCATATCCATACTAATATTATAAATGTTAAAGTTTGTGAGGATGGATGGATCTTTTCTAGCCTAGTTCTTTCACGCCAGAACAGCTGAACGGATCTGGATTAAATTTGGCACAAAGATAGATTATAGTCTGGAAGCTATTCAAGACATAGGCTATTTGTCTCGAAAAAATGTTCATTCCCGTGGGATGTGAGGTGTGTTTTTGTTGTTCATTAAGGACGAACCCTTACTTTATTGTGTATTAACATTAAATATTCATATTTTAGTCAACATAGATAACCAAGTAAAAGATTCTATGGAGTACTCTATCTAATTCAAAATTCAAATAAGAGTTTGTCGTGAAATACATCAGACTATTACATATAATAATACCATATGTATATTAACAAAATAACATCTAGGTAAAGGTATATAAGTAAAGATAAGGTATACGTTATGTTGTTAATGTGCTGTTACCAAAATTGATATTTCAAAAAAACATCAATCTATTATTTGTTAGTTTTTTACAAAAATATTTTTTTGCATATCTTCTTTTTATATATTAAATCTACATTAAATTTGCAAATGTTAAAATATCACGTATTTAAATGAAAGAGTCAAGAGTAGGTATTATCTTATTAAATAAGTATAGTAAAAGTACCTCCTACGAGCAACTACTTACATAAATTAAAATTGTTAAATGTAATTTCGTATTTATTTAAAGTTTCCTGGTAAATGATTTTTTTTGAAACGTAACAGTTGTGTTCAATTCACTAAGGCAATCTCACTTAGAATGCAGAGGACGCGACGGAAATTGTTTGATTAAATATTAATATTATTTGCAAATTTCTATTAATATCTGCTAAGTTAACATGTTTCATAATTTAATCTAGTTGAACTCTGTGTAATACACCTGTTATTAATTGATAGTTCTACCTTATTTGTCTGTTTATTATAAATGATATGAGAAAACGTCAGTCTATACGCTCCTAGTTTGCGTGCTTTCCCTTTTGTCCTAGTGAGCTAAAAGTGTGCTGATAGATTACTATGTTAAAGTCTAGGGTAGCACCTGTAAACAATCATATTTTCAACCGACTTCCGAAAAAGGAGGAGGATCTCAATTCGGCTGTATTTTTTTTATGTTTGTTACCTCAGAACTCCGTCATTTATTAACCGATTTGGACAATTTTTGTTTTGTTTGAAAGTGTATATTTTAAATAAAACTATCTTTTCAGATTATTTCACGGATTTATTTTGATTTTTGGTTCCCGACGTTTCGAATGCTTTACAGCATCCATGGTCACGGGAGAGACTGAGGTGTTACATGTCTTGGAGGTATAGTTGTTACAAACAGCCTACCCACAATTAACAAAATGAAAATTACACCAATTACCTTACAATATTTTTTAACTTTAAACGTTTTTATAATTTTAATTAGTTTTATAATTGAATATGGAATATTATTTATTTAATTTAAAAATTCGGTGCCAGCCGATATAAAGCAAAGCACACAGACTTCGAAAATATTTGATTAGGTATGTATAGTGAATGAAAACTACCAATCAGTTATTTTTTAATTTTTAGTGCTTTTGTTTGAAGTCGGTTTTTATTTTTTTGTTAAAAAGTTTTTATTGTAACTGCGTACATCGTTTTAAATATCAACCTTTAAGCTCAATACTATAATATTTATATTTACATAGAGGCTTCCATTTATAGCTATACGAGACCTTCGCGGCCATTTGACACCTCATTTGCTTGTCCATTGAAAACACAGTTTCTTTCAAACAAAGCTTATTTTTATTTGACCTAACTTAAATACAAAAGAATGAACGGTAAAATAATAAAGAAAGAAGAAAATTGATGTCAGTTCCTTTCACATCCTAGCTTTGTTCATTTAAACATACTTCTTTCGAAGAAGATTAATTAGTTTTTCAACAAAATAAGCACTATGTCTACTTTTTTATTCGTCTTGCATTTGATTTGATATCATATTTGCATTCGATTATGGGCGTGCTTAAAAGTATTTTTAAATCTCACCATAAAGACATCAACGAGCTCTTATTAAGTTTTTTTTAAATTACAATATATCCACAGACTATCTACTATAAAAAAACGTTCAAGACTATTGCCAAATAGGTGATACAATGATAAATAACAAAAGTAAACAATCTTTTATAGTGTCGTTTGAAGTGGAAGCAAATGACGCAAGCGCCATTGTGTCCAGCGCCTTGGTCAACTTGGTCGCCGGTAACGATTTCATTCCACTGCGCTACTTCGTTTTTATTCTGAGTAGGTATCACAGGGTTTTTCCGATACGTGCAACATAATTATTTAATATTTATCTCGTACTCTCAATTGTTTTGAATTTTATATTTATAGATCTAGGATTATTTAAATGCATTGTTTGCCTTATGCTAAATTCTGTATTTTAAATAAACTATAATATTATAATCTTTTACTAATAGTTTTCACTATTTCTTACATATAATAATACATTTGTTCTATGTGTATTTATTATTCTATAATAATCTCACGAATGTAATTCCAAAACTTTAGAAGAAACCAAGGTTTAAAGCATGTCCTACATTTGAGGTCATTATTTTGAAATCGTAATAGACACAAGAATAACTTTGTGAATTAAAATCATAACATTACTTTAAAAAAATAGAGTTAAACTTCATGTTCAAACATGGTGTTTTGTTATGATATATGTAAATGTAAATATAACACACGTAGCATATTGTAGAACTCGTGTACACTCATAAGAACTATATTTATATTATACAAATATAAATATGAGAAGTTAACTTTTATTCAACATTATAAATGAATTCTCAAAGACAAACATTTATTTAATGAGTTTTGTTTGATGAGTGATTTAAGTTGTTATCAAATATTGGTGAAATAGCTACAAATTGTACGTGTTTTACGTCTCGGAGATAAAGATCAAAAAATCATTCTTAATGCTGCTATTATTGTGTATTTTATCTTTCGATTCCACTTGTTTCTCTTGGCAAAAAAGCTTAAGATTTTCTTTAGTAGTTTTCGTAAAAATAATAAGTATGTTTGTATCATTCAATTGCTGGCCCGTGTTTTCGCGTGACCGACTATAATTATATAATAGTTATTATAATTATGAGTAAGAACAATAGAACAATGAGTCTCCCACATTTATGGGCACATATCTCATCGTACTTCTCAGAAAGAAACAAATCTTATCTCGTGTCGTTGTTAATTCGCAAATGCTAATGGTTTATTCTAACGAGCAAAGACTTCATCCGCTTTTCTTTAACTACTGCTTTTATTTTTATAACGCTTTGTAATCATGAAATCCAATATAATAGTATAACAAGTCTCATAACTGTGATATTAAATTCATTTCGAATTCAAATTTTAATATAAGAAGCTTTATTATTTCTATGTGAAGTCTTAATGTTTTGTCATATATTTACGAAAAAAGCAAATATGTTGTCAGCATCGCATTAGTATTCAGCATTGATTGAATAACATGACGAAAAGAACCGGTCAAGTTAGAACCTCGCTCACGTACTAGCGGCTCATCGCATGCCAACTTTATTTCTATACAGTGTCACTACAGTTAATTAAATATATTTTTTAATATACCTATAATTTAAAAACAACTATTTTAAAATGATTCATACGATAACTATTTTTCAACAATTTTGCTAGGACCATTCATAAAAATAATTTTAATTTTTCCGATTAGTAATTCGAAATCATAAATTCAAGTTTTCACTTTATTTTTTAACAATATAATAATTATAATGCCCTAATCTTTGAGTTTTTATTAATAAAATCTGCAATAACATAGTTTATACTAGCATTAATCAACTAAGTCTGGTTCACAAACGGTCGACTACTATACGCGTCAGCGGCCTAACAACCGCTGTCAGAGAGAAAGGCGCTTTCCCATCGTTTTACGATATAACTTACCTATACCATTTGCAATATATGTAGTGGTTTAACTCTCTATTTAAAGACTTATTCGGTTAATTATACAAGGTCAATAATAAATATAATAAAAAAATAAATATATTTTGTAAAGATAATAATTTAAATGATTTAATGTATTTATATCCAAAAAATAAAAATAATATAATGATTCTTATTAGATTATTAGTCAAAAAATGACTTTATAAACAACAAGGTAGTAAATAAAATTAATTAAGTTGAATAAAGGTAAAACGTAAATGACATTGCGAATATTCACGAAACATACCGGTGGAGGTTCTGAAGCGCTGTATACTTCAGATGGTGGGTATTCCGGTTTCATGGTTATGGTAGCCATAGAATCTGGCTGGTGCTCCTTCTCCATCACGATACTGTTCTTTATAAAAAATATACTAGTTAGCTGTACGCGCGTATTCTTTAACGTTCTATACAAGAGTGCGCTAAGTGAACGGCGACTCGACGTAGGCGCACCGGCTGTGGTGGGGCCGGCTGCGGTGCGAGATGGTAATTGTATTGTCGGTATGTCGGATGCTCGTTTACTTCACTGTACCAACCTGGTATACCTACGTTCTGAGGAGATGTCTCTTTCATTGTTTACAGGCTTAGTTTATTGCTTGAATGAATAATTTGTATTCAAATAATAAGAAGCCTTTTAATACCACATAACAAAAAATATTCCCTAATGTATGTATGTACATACATATTCTAATTTTGACAAATATTATCTATTACTTAAATAATAAATTACTTTTGTTTTAACATCACATACTTTTGTTTCAACATTTACATCTGACTAGCATCGCCCGCGGCTCCGCCCGCGTTCAGATGACCAAATACCAAATTCTTAAGTTTTACATATTAGTATACTCTTACATTGCAGTTTTTGTATTATTATTTTTCTCAGAAATGAGACATTTTTCTGCGGTAAAAATAATTCTATATGTTGACCCGGATAACTAGCTATCACTATACCCAATTTCATCAAAATCCCTCCAGTGGCTTTTCTGTGATGCGGTAACAGACGGACAGACAAAAATTCTCAAAACTATAGATTCGTCCTCTGTATCGATAATAATGTCTATTTCAAGAAGATTTTCCAAAAAATATTTAATGTACAGATTCGACTTAATTACAATTTTATTATATGTACCTATTATAACATTTTCATTGAATAAGATACAAAAGAATCACATATAGTTCACAATCAAAGACACAATATATTATATCTAATTAAAACCTATTCACCTATTAACTAAGGCTCTGCATTACATAAAAAAATATTAATAACTAGCGACTCACCCTAACTCCTCTCGCATTCGTCCCTAATTACGTTTTAACGTTTAGTATATATTTCTCAGAGATGTGATATTTTCCCGCAGTGAAAAGTATCCTAAATGTTGATCCGGATAACCAGCTATCATCATCCCAAATTTCATTCAAATCCATATATACTAGAAGAACCCGCGGCTTCGCTCGCGCTAAAGCTACAAAAAAACTATAAGGGTTGGTTTCATACAAATATTTCATCCTTTATTTTACCCACTTATTGGATCAATTTCGAAAAATGCTAAAACACGTATTTTGTTTAATAGTACTGAAGAGCATTAAAAGCATAGTTTCTAGTAATTCTGATCATAAATATTTTTTTTGGGCTTATTATAACTTGTTTTCTTGTGGGAATGAGATAATCTCCCGTGGTAAAATGCTAGCCTATGTAACTCTCCGGCACCCCCCCCCTCCCCCCAACGTGCGTTCACCTTGTCGTGGTGGGGGGGCTCAGTAGTGCCCGGCAATACAACCGGGCGCGAAGCCAAGAAACGCACAGGGAGGTGGCCCGCTTCGGTGGGCGGTGGGAGGTGGCCCTCTTCGGAGGGTGGTGTACCATGCGGGTTGCTCCTGGTACTTCTCTGATAGCAGAGTGGACCTTGGAGCAACCCCGTGGTTGTTGTGGTCTGCTTCGGCAGACCTGCCGTCGGGGCGTCGTAGTTGAATGCGTAAGCGATCCTGCGACGCCCCATTAAGACGGGGGAAGGTTTTGTTGGGTTTTGGTGGGTAGTACTGGCTGTATTACGCCGGTGAGTCCCACACGTCGTGCGTAAATGCATTTCCCAACGTTAAAAAAAAAAGTAACTCTCCGACACTACAAAATATATCTCCACACAAAAAATCACACCAACCGTCACTCCGTTTTGACGTGAAAGAAAGACAAACAAACAATCACACTTTCACATTTATAATATTAGTATGGACAAGCGCGGATCCAGGGGGGGGTCATGGGGGTCATGACACCCCCAAACAAGACAAGTATAGCAAACCGTTTAAAAATTGTTTTTTTTTTCAATTTCTGCCTAGCTGTGACATCCTATCGAAAAATATTCTTTACAAAAGTTGTAGGTCTAGTAAAAATCTACGACTTTTATGATAACCTCAAAGTTTTCCCACCGATTTTTCATGCGGTTTTCTTTCGCATTATCCCACGCAAAATATGGTCGATAATTTAGCACGTTCGGGCATAAGCATCATAATTAAGCGGCCAAGGCGCAAGGTTGACAACAACCATAGGGGTCCGGGTTCGAATCCCGGTCAGATACAAAGGTATAATTTATTTCATCATCAAAAACTCCGAGCGAAGGTCGGTAGTCCAAGTATTTTAATATTATACTTGCGAGTTCGATTATAATAATGGTTGATTAATGATTAGCACGCAAAAACCTTAATATTAAATGAAATTTGCTGCCGTTACAGATTGTTTAACTTTTAAGGAAGTGGCTTGCAGTAGTCCGAAAAATATGCTACTAAATATTCACTTAGAGCTATAAGTTAAAATCTTGAGCCACAATTGACACGAAAATAAAGTAAGGTTACTTTTACATGACATGCGTTAACAACAAACGCTAATACAATTATATATGTATTATAAGAGGCATGGAAGAGAGGAAATTGGTAGTATGAAAGATATTTTGAGGTAGAATATCGCACCAGAAAAAAAAAACTATTTACTACAACTGAAGAAGCAAGACATTAAGACCCCAGGGACAGTCTCCTTACATGATTTTAGCAAGAAGCATTTTTTTATAAACTTATACATATACTGTAACGTGACAATTACCGAAAATATATTTTCGTACTTAGGCCTAAAATGTTACTATAATCTGCAATTTAATTCTAGCAATTTCAGATCCACAATTTGTTTTTCTTTATTTCACACATTACTGGAAAAACTTGTCACACTAAATGAACTGACTGAATATTAATGCTCTATTACAGCTCAAAGTTGTATGATGTGTAGTAGTATTACTCTAAAAAAGATATAGCTTCTTAAATTGCAATTTTTCCAGTGAAAACTGTAAATTGTGGCACTTAAAACTTAATACTATGATATATTTATACTGCTACTCTTCCAGGTAAATTTCTAAGAAATTAATTAAATTTATAAGATATCTATTGTTAACTGTAACGCGTGTCCGCAGTCGTTGAGGGAATATCGATATTGCAATAAGAGAAGAGGTTAAATACATATAACAAAATCACTTTAATTTATTAAGATATGGAGTACAAAATATGACCATAGATTGATACTACATAGTATTGCCCTAAATATTGTTACAAAGAAAAAAACATTTTTTCTTAACCTACCTTACTTTACCTTCTCAAGAATGGTATTTTGATACACTTATGTCGATGTTTCGATACCTTTGTCACAAAAATATGGCTCACTCACTCCTTCATAGCTAACACCGAACCAAACGATCACTGAAGTCGTTAAATGCCCACGTTGTACTCTGTTGACTAACTGGGAAGCTTTTGTTTGTCAAAATATTGCTCAATTGTAAAAACTTTCTCATCTGTAAAGAAATTTTTTCTGTGACCTCCCTTTGCGTACCGCTTAAGTAGTTGTTTTGATTGTACCACCCTATTCTTTTTTAAATTATCAGTTAAGAAATGACCAGTGCGTCTCTTATAGGCTGCAAGTCCCAAGTCATCTTTTAGAATACGCGACATAGTTCTAGGTGCTATCTTCATCTCCCGAGATAAAATCTTTTGCTTTCGGACAGGATTTCTTCGAATTCTTTCCCTTACTGCCTTTTTCGTACGAACACTACGTGGACGGTCAGATCTTTTTCTGTCACAAACAGAGGATATTTCACTGTAGGTACCTATCAATAGCCCGGTACACAAACATTTGACTAATACCAAGCGTATGGAGAGTACACAAACATTTGACTAATACCAAGCGTATGGAGAGTTTTAAAAATGTGTTTTAATAGTTTCGCAACGAGTAGAGTTAGGAAACCAAGAATGCTTTTATATGTAAAGGATTAATTTAGATGATACCGATATAGTAAATAACTTGCCTGTGTGAATAGACTGTAATATACGAGTATGTTATGAACTGACTATACTAATTCTGGGTTATTTAATTTTATAGAATTCTATTCTATATTTTATTATATTTCGTAGTGTATTGTAAACAAATGCGTCTGGCACTCATGACTCAAGGAAGGAACGTACGTATTTACATACTACACACAAATTTGCTTCATTATAATAGTCGTGATAATCGGACATAAATATTTATTTATCTGTCTGATTATGATGATGTCCCCCTGGCCGATGTCGGCCACGGCAGCATCTCAATGAGAGTACAGCCAACTGCAAAAGAGATATTATAGTGCAGAAATATACGCGCAGACACCAATGCACTCTCTATTCCTGTCACTCATAATCCGGTGGGACGATAATTCGACACGATCGGTTAGGGATCAGACGCAGGAGCGTGGACCGATGGCTTTTCGTACTCTTCGAGGCACGGGGTGAAACACCAGCGACATCCCAACTCCGGAATGTTACTGAGAATTTCATGACGGAAAAAATCATAACTAAACTTGACCAGTCCGAACCCATGACCTCCGGATCTGCAGCCGTACATTCTAGCCACAGCCACTAGACCTCTGAGGCAATCAATGTATGTATACCTATGTCATTTCTATATTTGTACTCCCTTGTTGCTTCTATGTAATTTTGTATCCCACAAAATAACCCTATACTTATTCCACCTACATAGGTTGACTAAAAGAAATTCGTATTAGAAATAGTTCCACTACAGTCTATGTTCTTTTATATGTATGTTGATAATATCATATTTGGACAATTCAGAAATAACTGAGATTTTACTAATTCGAATGATTTTTTTAAATATTAAATTCAGTTCAATTCACCTAAATTTAGTTTATTTTAATTTTTTTGTGCGGAACCCTAATTCTTTTACTCAAATAAAAGTAGTCAAGTTAATCCTTATAACATCAACTATCTGCCAGTGAAAGTGCCGTGAAAATCGGCCCAGCCGGAAAAATATACACAAAAGAATAAAATATACACAAATAAAAATACCGTATATAATTTCATATGCATTTAGTAAAAAGCTGTTATTTTAACATTACAAACAGACGCTTCAATTTTATTTATCTGTATGTATAGATGTAGGTACCTAGTCAACGTCTATGTTAGGTAGGTACATATATTTTTCTTTATATTTTTGTTCCAATCTTTATTTATTACAGTTTCCCTACCAGCAAGATCGATCATCGAAAATGCCTGCAACTTTCTATTAGCAAGTCGTACTTATACGCTAAAGTATCCACAAACAATAAAGTAATTAATACCCTACTAATTCCCAGAAAAACCTAACACTAAGGAAATCTAATCACCGCAAAAAGAATCAAAGTTGATATATAAAATCATAGCACAGATCCGAACAAATGTCTTCAAAAAGTGCCGTCGGAATGTAACGTTAAATCTGTTATTTTTTATCAAAATAAGTTTTTAAAATAGCGTTTCAATAAAATCAAACCAAAGAAGAAACTCCGAAAATTGTAAGATCTGATTTGAATCGAATTTGTCTTCTGAAAAGCAATGGCCTTCGGGAGTGAGGCAGAATAAAATAAAAGTTGCAAATTGCAATTTGATAATATTACCGTAATGTTATACTTTCAAATTGTACGCTGTTTTTAAGACACTTTTGAGATCCTGATTGTGTATCTTGGGTGTTATCAATGACCGATATCTAAGGATTTGTCCTAACAATTTTAATTTATGTACTTCAAGTTCAACTCTTCATTTCTTGACTAGTCTATGGAGTCTACGGAGTTGTCAAATTGACATAAGACAGTAACAATTTTCATTTTTCAAAAATTTATAGGTTATAAATTCACAGTCTGATTTGAAAAGTGCATATATTTAGTTTGTTTTATTATTATATATTATTTGAAGACTTATTAAAATGGCTAACTCAGGAAAAGGCACTTTTAATCCTGTGAGATACTAAAATATGTTCAAAATTATTGAAAAAAAAAAAACAATCTTTACACTAACATAATCTTTACTTTTTTAATCATACAGGACTCGGACGTTCATATTTCCTATGAGGATCAGCAAAAAATAAACAAATTTGCACGACTTAATGCCAAAGTAGACGACATTAAAGATGAACTTAAAGTAAAACAAAATGATATGAAGAATTTTGAAGAAGCTGTGGAAGAATTAAGTCTTGCTGATGATTCTGATAAAATTCCCTACCTCGTTGGAGAAGTATTTTTTTGCCAAAGTTTGGAAGACACCTTGGTTTGTATTGTTTTATTCTTCAACTAGCCTTTTCCCCGCGGCTCCGCCTATACTAAATCCTTCTACAAAACACTCTGCATCTTATGGTATTTGTATTATTCCAAGCAGTTCAGTAGTTATCGTAGTATAACAGAACAAAAAAAATGGCTCTCCATTTATTAGTATAGATTAGTAGATTATTGATAAATCTCAAGTACTTTTACTCAAAATTAAGCTTTTTCTGTTTTATACTCATATATTATTCAACATTAAACAATTTTTGTGGCTTAAGTGACACTGTTAGCTGATATTCATATAATCTAAATATTTGTATCGTGATTTAAGTAAATACTTTCTGTATATGAAAAAAAGGAATTTATAAAAATTAATACATTTTTCAGAAATCATTAGAAGTAAATAAAGCAAAGAAGCAAAATGAAATAAAGGAATTAGAAGCGAAATGTGAAGAGCTGAAATCACAAATGAGTGAATTAAAAGCACATTTATATGGTAAATTTGGAAGCCATATAAATTTAGAAAATGAGGATGATTAAAGGAATTATCTCTGTCTTATTTGTTATACTAACAATATTTTTGTCATAATGCATTAAAAAACTCAAAAAATAAAAATAACAATATTATGTTACATTTATTTTTAATTAATGTTTTAACATATCCTTACAAAATATGTATTATAAGTACTATGTTTAGCTTGCTTTAATATAGTATCAATAAATAAGATGATTTTTATTTTGCATTAAATAAAAGGTCATTTATTTCAAATTCTAAAATAAGAAAATTATATTTGTTTAAACTCTATAACACTTATAGTCTATAAAATAGAAATGTGTTGCAGTGAGGAACCATGATTCAATTCAAAAATACACTAGCAACTTACACTCGCTTCGTTCTAGTGCATCCCTAATTATGTTTTAATGTTTTGAGCGGAACCCTAATTCTTTTATAAATAAAAGTAGCCTAAATTACTCCTTATAAAATCTGTATAGCTATCTGCTAGTGAAATTGCGTCAAAATCGGTCTCACCGTTTAACTGTGATAATTCATAAAAAGTAAAAGCGCCGTCTGTGATCTGATTGCTGATATTTCAATAATCAGTAAAATTACACAGACTTAATTTACGTGCGCATTATTTCGTTTTACTTCACCTAGAATATTTTTTAAAACAATAATACACCTTTTTGGGATTTATTTATTTTTTTATCTTTTATTAATTTAAGACTCATATTAAATCCATACATGTAACGTCATCTATTGACATTTATTTGAACTATTTTTCGTGATGAAACCTCATAGTATAAATGAGAATTAGCATAAGTAGCGTGACTTATTGAGCAGTTGATACCAACTGCTTGCATTTGGCATCAACTGCAGTCATTAAGGGCAGCTTTAAGCTGTTGACTATGACTGCAAGAGAGGTTCATTTATGTTGATCACTGGATAACTGTTTAAGCATTCCGTGTATCACTTGTCTTTACGGCGAAGGAAATCATCGTAAAGAAACCTGCATGTCTGAGAGAACGTAGCAAGTTTTTGCAAGACATGTGAAATCCGCCAACCCGCATTTGGCCAGCTTGGTGGACTAGAGCCTAATCCCCGTCGTATTGAAGGGAGTTCCGTGCCCAGCAATGGGACGTTAAAAAAAGGGCTGAATATATACAGGTAAATAGTAAAAAACTCAATCGTATTTTGAAAATTTTAATACTTTTGTATACATGGACAATATTATGGAATAATACAAATACTAATAGATGTTTAATTAAGTCGATCAATATATTATATTTTAAGCCTTAAATACGAAATGACACAATGAATAAATATTATAAATTTTAATAAAATATGTATATATGTGCTTTACCTTTATGCTTTAATTGTTACATTGTACTTTTGTTTTTTTAAGTTAAATTAGAACAATAATGACACAAACCATGGCATATTGTAGAATGAAGCAGAAAATTATAGAAAAAAGAGCATTAACAGCACATCAAATATATACATCCATAATTTAACATATAATATTTGATATTTTTTTCATATTTAATATAATTCAATGAAGCGAAATAATACAGGTTAAATTAAAAATACTGCCAAATAAATAATATTAACAAGATTGCTGCAATACTTACATAATTAATTATTTCACTATATAGTTAGGTGAACTTAAAACTAAAAATTATTTTTACATAAAAATTTTACTAAGTACATATTCGATATGACACAACCAAAACATAAACATTTTGCTATGCAATTTAATTTGATCTCACTAATACTATAAAGACTACTATTATATTTTTTTAGGTTTTCATTATAAAAGAGAATATATTTTTATTGCATGGCCAACCTTACACCAATTTTTGCCTAAACAAGTGGCGCAAAACGATACTGGTATATATGTCGATAATAGATAAACAAAATTATAAATATTCTAGCCATAGGCTTTCTCAGTGTCACATTTCTGAGATAATTGAAGATAAAGATCACCATTTGAATACGAACTACTTGTTAAAATGTGTTAGTTGTATACAAATAATACTTCTCAGACAAGCATTTACTTCAAAAATTAGAAATTTTAGTCCTTTATTTATTTAACCGTTCCTTTATCCATACATACCAATATCATGAATGTGTGTAGGGTTAAACCATAATTGAAAAATAGCCATCACTTATCAGATGAAACAAATAACTTTAATAATGAGTCATTAATTTTATAGTACAAATTTTATATAAAATTACATGGAAAATTATATAAAATATCACAATTATTTTTGCAAGTATCACACTATTTTTTTATGACTGGACAGCTGTAGTGATGTGAAACAATAAAATATATTGACAAAACATCACAAATTCCCAATTATTGACCTAATTTTATTCAAAATACACACATAAATAATATAGTTAAATAATAACAAAATAAAAATTACAATACCAAATTAATTTCATCACATGTCATTTTGAATGTCGGTATAAACCATAATTAAAATATATTTAAATAATACTATAAAATGTAGGACAGGACTATCACATATAAAGGTGAAACAAATTTAAATGTTTTAAACAAGTAAATAGTTTCAACTATACCTTAAATAGACATTTATATTTTACAGACATTAAGAGCGCTACAGCCATGTTATAATACAAAATGAAAAACATTTATAAAAATATAAAGTAACAAAAGTAAGTAACGAGGAATGGCTAGTATAGTATTAAGCGGCCAATTAAATTAAATATTGCACTTATACTGATATTAAATTATTATCTACGTTCATACACCTCTTTGTAGACTAGTATGCGAGTTGGATAGAGAACTTGGTTGCAAACTCTCATCCTCATCGGTGTCGTGATCATTAGATATTCTGATAGCCTGGTACCATTGGTTGGTGAGATCTGTCATTTGACTCTTACAGTCCTTCAATTCCTGGAATTTTATAAAACTTGTTTTTATGATATGGAATAAACATAATTTAAGTGACACTGCCTTCTGTTACTTGTTGAGTCTTATTTTTCATAAGACTAGTACGATAAAAGTTCAGTGTACAAGATATCTATATACTCGTAGGTCGTGATACTTTTCACCCGAGGTATTGATACAGAAATCTTCAAAAAAAAAACAAAAATGAAAAAGCCAATGCTGATTTCACATAGGGTACTATGAGTAAATTAATGTCGACACGGTCGAAATATTAAAGTTTTTCTGTCGAGCTCTCATATTCACCAAATGTGACGAGTATTAAGTCCAATAGGGAACTTCGTCCCAAAAAGAATCCTCAATGGACAAGTTTATAATTTAACTAAATGATTGGAATAACTTAACCATTTATGATTTAAGTCATAACTTTGTACTGCGTATTTAGATGGCGTAGTTTCAGAACAACCCAAATTAGATATTACATTAGATATTAATATAATTTATATTAGTTATGTGACAGTTGTTTCATTATTTATTTAAAACTTACCTGATGCGTGAATCGTCTCGTGAAGAATGGAATCAAATACTTCATGTCCAGACGTACAAAACCTTTCAACCTTGATGCGTGCGAGTAATTAACCTGCGGAGAAAACGAAATTATTAATGATCATGATAATAACATTAGATTATAGAATATCAATAACATGATGATATTATTGACTTTTTTAAATAATTAAAATTTGAGTTCTTTTAATAGTGCACTACGTAGTACATACCTCGAGTTCTTCTTCAGTTATTTCTGACAAGTGTTCAGAGTCAATTGCTTGTCCCCATTCCTTTGTTTTGGACAAGCTTACTTCCTTTTGCTTCCGCAAAGACCTCGACCGCTTAGGTTTTTTGTTTGCCTAAATAAAACAAACGTAAACATTACTTCCTTTATAAATAAACATGGATTGTAAACATTATGTGAACTTGAAGAAATTTAAAGATGATAACATAAATTGTAGGAAAAATATAACGACATCCGTGTCGTTATATTTTTTTACTATATGTTAAAATTGAATATTTCAAAATACTATTTATTTATAATATATATTTTAAAGAATAGATAGATAATTTAAAAAAATAGAATTTGACAGTGGCTTCACGCTTATAATATAAAAAAGGAATATATCCTTTATAATATAAACAGCTATCCCCTGTGCTCAAATAACCATATGTACCTAACAATTGTCATGGCGATCGGTAAAATAGGATGTAGCTTCAGAAAAATAGTTAGCATAAAAATCTTCTCCATGTAAAAACTTTCACGTCTGCCTGGCTAGTAATAAAGCTGGATGAACAACGTTTGGATAACACCAAAAAATATTTATGTAGATACTTAAATTAAAAATTATACTCACCCTTAAAAATTTCAAAAGTGGCATTGTAGAACCTCCAAAGAACAAGGTGGTAAATAGAACGATAATGAGAGTCGTTGTTATAATCACGTGACGAGTTTCATCAGAAAAGTCAAGGTGAAGTGAAAGTGCATAAGATATTGCACCACGTAAGCCTGAAATAGACCATTATGTAAATTTATGTATTTATATAATACCTAGTAAAATTAATACTACTTCTGTTTTATTACTTTATATACAATTTTTACATAAGAATACCAGAATAGCCACGTCTACGGTTCCTACGGCGCGGCGCCACGATTTCAAGGTTGAAAAATAAAACGAAAATTAAGTAAGTAATTAATTTCAATAAGCTACAATGGACCATAACTGGTCGACGTATCTAGGGCCGACCTCGGCACCACACCCAATACAATAAATAAATTTCAATAACATTGAAACCAACCACGAACAAATCAAAATTGACACTTTGATGTTCATAAATTCAACATACATATATTGCACATTTATGTAAATTATATATAATTTAAATTAATATCAGGTTACAATATTTATCGTCTCGAGTATTGTTTTTATTAATTCTCTCTGAAAGTTCCAGAATGTCGGGTAAGCATCCTAATTTTCATCCAAAATTAGATCATTTCAATATTTTAAATTCTTTTGATGAACTAGTTGGTAGTGAAGACAAAGCTATTTCTTTCTTAGAAGAAATAGGTTTGATTATTTGGCGTGAATCAACTCCACCGCCATGTTGTGGGCTTCCAATGCTCATTGAATTTGATTCACGGTCTAATATCTCGAAAGCTAATCAAGATATCGAAATATTTTAGCCTTAATTTTCGTTTTATTTTTCAAAAATATATCAAATACCGTCAAAAAAAGAAAAAAAAAAATTCACAAAAGTAAAAATTTTTTTTATCGATATCTCGGAAACTAAGCGACATATCGAAAACTTTTATTCTTACTTTTCGGCGTATCTCGTCGAGTTCTATGCGAATCAGCCTTCAAATCGTGGTGCCGTAGGAACCGTAGAAACCTCCCAGACTATACTTATTTTCATTACTTACCACTAAACCACATGATGAACATCATTTTTTTTGTTATTTTATGCTCTCTAAATTTATTACAAAGTAGAGCAAGAGGAAATATATTTGCGGCTCTTCCAAGTAGACACAGTACAATACTCCAAACAACTAACGCAGGTTCAACACGATGTCTAAAGCTGTAAATGGAAACATTTATTTAAGTTAATTTTTTTATAATTTAAAGATATATGAGATAAGTTTGTTTTTGTTTATTTTGTTAAATTTTTTAACATAGTTTGACTTCGGTTAATAGATGATATATTATCGGGTAATATGAAGCAAAGGAAGTCAAATACAATATGTATAATGGCACTATAATGTTAACATTTCTAAAATACAGTTTTTATTTTGGCTTCCAATTTCCAAAAACTTATATTTCTATTATAGATAGTAAATTTTCTAAAATTTCGGAGTTTTTCGCATATTTATTTTAATTTTTGGTTCACGCCGTAAAATGTCAAATATTCAGGTAAATAAGAAAGTATTATTTTTAACCTACTTTAAATATAAGTAATAAATATTATTTTAATTTCAAAAATGGAAGCATACTAAGTAATAGTGTAGACATGGGCAAAATAGAAATCTTCATGAAAATATATACTTCTAGTATGTTGGCTTACTACTTGTTAAATATAAAAAAATCTATAGTACCTGAAAATAGCTAATCCCAAGTATGCAAATACACAAGTTTCAGCAATAAATGCAAGGGTCCTCATTGTCTGCTGCATAGTGACTTGGGTTACCGTTGATAGATTAAAATGTGTGTAATGAGACATAACAATTCCACAAAATAATATAGCCATTATTCCTGTAACACAAAAAAGGATTAAGTTAAAAAATTTACAAAATAATATATTTTTTATTACAATAATAAATAATTATAATAAAATATAGTAAGTCAAATCTTTTACAATAACACAAATTTCATTCTAAAGTAAAAATGCAACTAAAATACATAATACATTCTATACCTGATAAATGAATTCCTTCAGCTAAAACATAGGGAGCATAAGTAAATACCAGCATCATACCAAATTCTAGAGAAGGATTCTTACGAAGATCAACATGTTTTAAGAGAAGAGCACTTATAAGAGCAAAAAGAACTCCAATGCCAGCTGAAGCAAAGAACATCAACCAGAAACGATTTATGGCAGACAATATGGCTTCTGTTGTTGACATTACAGGATCATTTGAATCTAAAACGGCTGTTGTAAGGACTATAGCAACGGCATCATTTAATATACTTTCACCAAAAACCAACATGTTTAGAACTGGATCCACATCAAGGGCGTGGAATATAGCTACTGTAGCAACAGGATCCACAGCAGAAATGAGAGAACCAAAAGCGAAGGATTCAACAAAGCTCAATTTATAGACAACTTGGGCTAGACCTAATAAATATATACCAGCTCCAATTACAAAAGCTGATATAGCAGTTCCAACAATAGCAAACAATAAAATAGAAACAATGTTCTGGAAAAAGTTTCCTTTATGGAGGTTATAGCCCGACTCAAAAATAATAGGAGGTAATAAAACTAAGAAAAATGCTGTTGGAGAAAATGCTTCCTCTTTCCTCCAGTTAGCAATATTTTTTATTGACATGAGATTAATAATCATACCAATCAAAGCACCAAGAAATACTATTACAACACTTTCAGGAAGATAAGAGAAGCCAGTTTGTAACATTAGGTGTATCAATAATATGCCTAAAGCCAATATGCAAAGCACAAAAAATATAGCCATTGAGCTATTATGTTCATCTTCAGCCGAACTCTTTCCAGGCAATGGTGCAGCATCTGAGGGGCCCACATCAGTAGCATTCGGAGTAGCAGATGAAGATACATTCACTGGAACGACTGACAGAATAGATGAATTGGAAGGTCCAACTTCATATACAACATTAGCACTTTCTGTTGAACTTGCTACTGATGAATTAGAATCTTTGGCAGTCAAATTAGATTCACTAGAACTAGTCGTATTGTTAGCTGTATCTCGCTTCGATCTTGAGAGATTCCAATAATTATCTTCATTTATTTTTAAGTTTTGATTCTGTTGCTGCTGAATGACATTTTGAATTTCTTCAGTAAAAACCCCAGATATACTTAAAAAACATATCCAAACACAAAAAGTACTTTTGTTGAATTTATACATTTTTTTTATTTGCAATATCCGCACAACGTCAATAAATAATTTATTTAAAAATGTTTCCAAAATTCAAGTATTTCCCAATAAATTTAAGTTTTGGACTTGTTTATAAATTGTTTGTCGTTTAACGTTTTCACTCATATCTTTCAATTAGTTACTATCATTAAGATAAATTAGAAATTGTGATTTATTTCTCATTACACAGTTCCACATGAAACATTATCGAAATCGAATATTTAGAATTGTCAATTTGTCAAGGCCAGCTGACTCAATGACAGCAATTTCTAGATAATATTAAAATTAGATACACGTACTAGCATAAAGCACTATTTGATTACCTATTACACACTTCACCCTGTTTTTAAAATTAGAGTACTAAAGCGCATTATACGGCATAATGCTAACTTCGGATGTTCCAACTACAGCAGCGCTCCGCACAATCGAGCATTTTAAAAAGTATTGCTTTACCGTGATCGGTGATGCGCACAAGAACACCAACTCAATAACAAAATATATGAGAAGTGTTTTTTCTTCAAGGTGGAATTGATCATAATTTTATTTACACTATCGTTAGTAATATTTGTTTATATTTATAAAATTATATATTATTACATATCTATACCAATATTATAAAGAGGTAAAGTTTGTGAGTTTATGACGTTGTAGGGGGTAATTTCTGAATCTACAGAACCGATTTAGATGAAATTTGGTAAAAAGATAATTTGAGACCCTGAGACGGACATAGCATAGTTTTTATCCCGGAAATGATCCCTTAAGGCGATGAAAATGGTGATGAAAGTTTGTATTGGGAAGATGTGTACTATTATATATATATATTAGTTAATTATATTTTTTAACACTAAACCTAGTGCCCTCTGCTGCTGCACTTGAAAACTAATTCACGTTCCAATTATAAATTTGCATTAGCACACTTCGGCATTGTGCGCCAAAGTACGGCATTATGCTCTGTAATTGGAAAACAGGGTTAGTAAATAAAACATTAAAGTTAATATTTCAGATATTTTTCAAAAGATTTAAATCAATTACTAGCAACTCATGACAAAAAGAAAATTTCAACATTAACGTAAACTAATATAAAAAAGTATAGTTGTCAAATTATGTATAAAATATTTTAGTTTTTTTAAGCTTTCCATTTTCCAAGTGCTCCATTGCCGCGAGTGAATATTTTGCCCATTTATATTTTACAATAAAAAAATCGAGACTTGAATTTGTTTTTTTTTTAAGTACAGTACAATCACGAAAGATAAATAAAACATACAATAAAATAATATACAAGAAAAATGTTTTTTAAAACAATGACTTTACGTATTATACAAATTACAAAATACTCCTAAACATTATTCATTAAAATTTAACAAAGTAAAAATTATCGAATTCTCCAGTTTTTCCAACTTTTACGGGTGTTTTTACACGATGAACTTACAATGTTTTTGTTTCTTCACGCAGTAGAGTGCAAGACGAGAAAAATGAGACAATACACGTAATTTTTTTTAGTTTAAACAACCACTTGAAGTTGGGGGTGATTTTAAGCCTCCCGAGACCATAAAATATAAATTTCTCGGAAACGGCTAAACTTTGTGGTTATTGTAACAAGTGTCATTGATAAGTCGCAGATTTTTACTAATTCCCCCCCCCCCCGTGACCCGCCCTCCCCCTGAATCCGCGCTTGGGTCTGGTGATACTTTATAACCGACAAAAACGTCTGGGGTTCTTTTTTTTTTGAATTATATAAAAACTAAATTAAAAGATTTAAAAAAATCAACCAAAAATATTTGTTTTGGATATTTTTTTGCAAATGTTATATACTGCGCAGTAATAACAAAATTGCCCCAAACGCTATCCCAGACTCGCGGGACTGGACTCGCCAATTGACGAAATTATATTTCTTCACAATTTCAACTTGCCAAAAGGACCTTCCCAAAATTCGATGCCAGCTCTCGGGCTATATAAAATCATAAAAGTTAAATACCCCAGTGTACCCCAGTACCAATAAAAGAAATGGTGTAACGCATTTGATATATAGACGACATATGTGACTCATCACTATGATGAAATAAAATTAGCATAACGTCGCGACATGATCATAATTATAAGATTTTTTTTAGTTAGAATATGATGTAGTATCAAGTGTAGTTATCTTTAAGTTAATAAGTAATCTCTTAAACAATATTTTTAATTATTCCTTTACAGTTCTCTGTCTTCTGCAGAGGAAATGTTTATTGAAACGTCCACGAATATTTCCGGAATACACTTTGACCCTTTTGGCACGCTGAAAATAATAGACGGTTTCCTTAACATTGTAATTGGTTGTAATCCCTGTAGACATTTCATAATTCATAGACAACCGCATATTGAAAATCTTAACGTTAACGGTGTGATAGGTACCTCTAAGTTCCTCTGTAGGCAAACGACTCTCGACCGAAGTCGAGTGTCTTAACTTACACCAGCCATTATTAATAAGTTAAAATAACATAATCCAAGATTTTGATTCAATCTCTCATTTAATTTTATCAAGGTCCAAACGGTCGGCTTGGTTCGGAGGTGTTGGGACCCTACTTAAAAACTATTTAGTACTATGAATGAGGACAATGCTATTAAATACAGTAACGCTATTCAACTCATAGAAACGGATTAATCTTAAATGTCCGAATTAGTTAAACAGATTACAGAATATTCTAGTTTCCACATCAACTCTTTCTTCTATTAAAGATACAATAAACCAAATTACTGCCAATTAACAAAGGTTCAATAGTGCTATTATCTCTTTTCCAACATAATATAACACTGTTATCTGATAATTTGTTATTAAAAACTATACCATACTGGTATGTTAAATTTATTAGAAAGTAGGTAGGTTATTAACATTATCTTTTAAGAAATCTAATATTTTGTATCCTTCTATTTTATCTCCAAAACAACGGTTTACAGAGCTAGCTGAAAATTATTGGTTTTTAGCCGATTATCATCAATTTCCTATTAGGGAAAGGTGTACGAGATGATCCGTTGAGGTAAGATGATCCTTTTAAATTACACAGAAACTACTAATGCCACCTAGATGTTTCCTTTGGTAAAACATAGCTCCCGATGGCCCTTCTCATCAGTCAAATCGCAATGGCAGTGTGAGTGACGCTGACGAGTAAAGTTTGACGACATAAAACAAAAATTGTGTGATGTAGATATATGGTAAGATTGATCCCATCAAAAACATACTGTAAAAATATTGCAAGTCTCGCAACGCATCTCTCTACCGCAAAAAGCTATGAGATATAATGTAAAACCAAGTCGGTTAATTTATTCATTACCTATCTATGGAAGCATCTATCCGACAACTTTGTCATAAATCGTTACCGAATTAGTTAAGTTACAACATTTTATAGTGACCGTATTAATATTAGATATATTTATTTCTTTAATTAATAGAGTGACTTGGCCATCGCACGGAAACATAATCACATAAGAGTCTACTATTTTAAATAGTCCTAATTAAAAATACCATGACCAAGGTGGACGGACGACTTGGTCAAAGTCGCTGGAGCCCACTGGGTGCGGATGGCACAAGACTAGTTGTCGTGGAAATTTTTGGGGGAGGCCTATGCCCAGCTGTAGACGTGTTTGGGCTGAAATGAACGGAACATAGTACTAGCAGGTCAAATTGATGCATACACTAACAATACATAAATAATGCACTCAGAACGTTAATATTAGGTAAATTTTGTCATTTGTAGGTTCTGTTATCATGTGCGATGGCCAAGTCATTCTATTAATTAAAGAAATAAATATATCTAATATTAATACGGTCACTATAAAATGTTGTAACTTAACTAATTCGGTAACGATTTATGACAAAGTTGTCGGATAGATGCTTCCATAGATAGGTAATGAATAAATTAACCGACTTGGTTTTACATTATATCTCATAGCTTTTTGCGGTAGAGAGATGCGTTGCGAGACTTGCAATATTTTTACAGTATGTTTTTGATGGGATCTCATTTCTTTTTGTAAATATTTCTTCTTTTTCCCTTTTCTTGTACTATTTCTTGTGTGTCAGCTAAGGACTTCTTAAAAGCCCACTCCCTGTCTCTGTGGGCTTTTTTCAGAGGCTTTGATATAACAAATTTTGACAAGTCTGGATGATAAAAAATCTAAGTCTATTGTATTCGGAAATTGCGGATTCCTGGGCTTCATTACTACTATCTTATGTATTAAGTATAAATATGTATAGTTAATTTAATGAATATTTTAATTTCATTGTTGACCCTAAATACCTACCCCGATACTGATATTGAACTTACGTAAGTTTAATAAAACGTGTAGATTTATGTGTCTGTCTGCGGCATCGTAGGTAAATCCCGAAGGTTGTTATACTTAATTATTATTGCTTGTTCAGTCAATTTTGATGCAGTTTAATAGAAAAGTGAGGTTGCCAACTCACTTCATTCACTGATTCCATTGGCCATTTTAAAAGTCATTTTCGAAGAAATTGATATTTCATGACCTCTATATTCCATGTTCTATTAGGTGTGTAAAGTTACGAGCAATGAAATTTTAACAAGTTTTCTAATTCAAATCAACATCATACTTTATAAAAGAAAATATACGAGCTTTGTTTCAAAATATGTTGGGACAGTAACACACAGAACCATCTAGTTCCATGGTAAGCTACGAGGCTTGTGTTATGGATACTAGATAATTGATACACTACACATATATAACTTTAAATACATACATATTATAAATATAAACACCCATGACTGGAGTACAAACTTTAGTCATCACACAAATGAATGCCCCCAGCGGGACTCGAACCCGCGACCGCCGGCACAGAAAGTAGGGCCGGGCCACTACAAACTGAGCCAAACGTGTCGTCAAAAATTAAGTAATCGTCAAGTTTTGTCGTAATTAGGTATATATTTTAATAAATTCATTATAAATAACAGGTAATCGAATATTAGTTGGTAATACACTATACACGCTTCACGTTGTAT